CAATGCTGCGAGCGGTTCTCTCTTCTTGCTTTGAAAAACGCTTCCTCTGTCCACGTCTCTCGACACCTTGACGATTATTGTGGGTCATGGCGCAAATAGCTTAACGCGACTTAGCACAGAGGATACAACCTAAGTAGCTAAACGTGACTCATGCATTTCTCGTTTCTCCCTCGGAACGTTTTCAGATAGTCGTGTGCGCTCGATCAATGGTATGGTTTCATGAAGGTCTATCGTTATTCGTTTACTAATTAATATCGCGTTTTGTCGTTAGTCCAAAATGGAAATTTAAAAACGATTGTCGTCCTAACGTTATTATCCTAATACCTGATGTATTCGCACGAAAAGTTGCACTGAGAGAACAAAATATTGTAGTTAGTAATTACCATAATTTAACTATAATTTCTAAGTAGTATTCGATGCCAAGTTATATTTTTTTTCGAACAATTAGAAAAATACAACTATTATTACTAACTTTATAGCAGCGACAAAAATGAAGGTTCCAACTACAATTGTTTTTACCTTATAATATTATATATTATAGTCATAAGTACTAAATACCTTTTTTCAATGTAAATATTTTTACATAAATCCGTACATCTGTTTGTAGAAAGTATCCGTTGTTACTCTATCACGGTAATCATTCAACGAAATGCTCTCTCGTTCATTCGATTTCTTCCATCGCTTCCGCGTTCCCCGCCATCATGATGGCCGACATGAAGAGAGGACGCACAGTTTCATACATTCCAGGCGAATTCCACGCTACCAACGGCCGAGATAACGACCACCCAATTTCGATCTCTCGCAAGAGTCGCAGCTGCACCAAGCTGATTGGAGTCAATTAACGTATTAACGCGCCACCGTATGTGGATATGTGGAGCGGGACGCGAGAGAACGAAAGTAGGGAATGGCCGAGTTTTGAGTTGAAAGCGGGAGTGGTAGGTAGTTTTGTCCCGGCGGTGGGTGGCTCGTGACCGGGACGGGTGGTACGCGGGGGGGGGAGGTTGCCGGGTGTCGGGAAGGGGGATAGCGTTCCTCGTCGCATACGCGGAGCGTGGTAGTGCACCTGACCTATATAGCGCGGCCGCGTAAGTATTGATCGACCTAATTCCCCGACACCGCAAGTCGGGGGCTGCCTCCTCGTCGGTGCGCGCGGAGAGACCGCCGTCCGAAAATTACGTAAGCTAACCTACTGACTCACTGCGCCCGTTGCTGCGTGGCACGGCCGGAGATGGGAGTTGTATATTCACAAGTCGGTGAAGTTATATTTTGAATTATCCCCTCGCCCCCGCCCCCGCCGTATATATCTATTCGCGTCGTTCGCGCCTTCTCTCCTGTTTTCGTATTTCTCCGCGCACGTATTTTTCTCCCCCCACCGATCCATGGATCCCCCGGTCTCCTGTTCCTATGCTTCGCATTTTGCTCTTTATCGATGCACGAGAGCAAATGAGTAACGTGCGCAAACTGACTGAAAATGTATCTCGTGAGAGAAACGTATACACGAGTTAGATCAGCGGAGTTAGAGCGAGTTAGAGCGGGCGTCGCGATTATCACTGGGACCAGCCCGAATTTTTCTCCGTTCGTCGTCGAGCCCGATTGTTCGCGTTTACGGACTGTACTGGCTCGAAGCAAAGTAATCGAGCAAGCGAGAGCCGAAAAAGTATAAAAGTCGCCCCGGCACGGGCTGATTTGGATCGTTTCGCGGAGAGTGCACGGAATTACGTCATGGGGAGGGGGGGGGGGGGAAAGAGCGCTGCTACGTTGCTCAATTTGCCGGCATCAATTATCGCAAACCCGCACGCGCAAGTACTCACGTTGCACCATGCGGCGTGCACGGTTGCGTGTGAAAGGTAGAAAGAATAAACGGTGCCTCGACAACGTAACGGAGAAATACCTTGGCGCAAGTTACTTACGTGAACCGAGTTTTTTTCTACAGCTACAGACCATCACTTAGAATCGAGCAAATTCCGCAAAGAACCAGCTTCATTATGTAAAATGTGTTGTATAATATTACATTTATATTAAAAAATATATTCCGTTTCATATATATATATATATATATTTACGTTTTATTTACTTTTGCGAGAAATATTGCAATAAATCGAAACTTCGAAGCACCGCTGCACCTCTCTGCAAATATTCAGACATAATTTGAACATCAACGGGAATGAGACCGACAGATCGCTTCATTAACATTACATATATATCCGTCTAACTTTCGCGTATAATCACTGGATTAATTCTAACGGCGTGCTGAAACCTTGGACACGATGCAAGGTCTTGATAAACGGTAGCCACACTTTCGTCGCCGATATCATCGCGCTTCGAAAGGCGCTCGATTTCTCTTCGACGACCTTTCCTTTCACGTGGGGCAGGTCGTGCCAGGGCCAGGTGTGTGCACGCTTTACCAAAAAGCACCGGCGTTTTTCTACCTGCTGACAACTCGGTGCGGCCCCACCGGACGAATCTACTCCTTTGCAAGAGGATCCTCGGGGTCAAGGACCGAATTTGCTCACACTAAACGAAAAGTCGAGGGGTTCGTTAACCTTCGAGTTCATCGCCCTGCCAGGCTAAGACCAGTCTACCTTTTTTTCAGAGAAACGACGACAAGGAGGAAGGGAGATAGCGAGAAAATTTCGTCTCAAACGATCGGGGATCGCAGGTCGCAGACTCCAGACAGGATACATATATAAGAGTAGGCGGAACGAGAAACTTCATTGTTTTTCAATCGCGTAATCTTATAAGCGGATCTCACGACGGCAATTTCATCCAAGATAGAGATTTGAATGAATTTTATTTAAATGTAAAAAACAATTCAGGCAACGATGTAAAATGTGTAATATTATCAGCGTAGAATATCGTTTCTCATCTGTTCATTCATGCATATGAAATGACGGTGTATCGATATATTAAATTATCAATGGATTAAATTGGTTTTATACGCACGTATTTGATATTTTTACAAGTATTATTCTAATCTTACATACCTTTATGCCGTATTGATTCAAGTATTTCGAAATAATAAGATCAGATTACCATTGCAGAGAATTATCACGTGTATGTACATATATTATATATGTGTATAATGTGTGTATACAGAGTGAGTCATAAGTATGTTTTAAAATTTCTTCAACGTGTTCCTGAGAAAAAAGAAAGAATAAATGTTCCTGAACATTACGCCGCAATCGTGGTCAAAATAATAAACATAAAATCGTAAAAAAAAAAAATTAAACTGATTTACGTCCATTATGATAAAGTATCAATATATTCATAGAAGTATTATTTTTTCCTTTTTATCCAGGTACACTCTTACAAAATTTTAAAACATATTCATGACTCACCCTACATACAAGTATATATATATAGGGTGAGTCATGAATATGTTTTAAAATTTTGTAAGTGTGTACCTGGATAAAAAGGAAAAAATAATACTTCTATGAATATATTGATACTTTATCATAATGGACGTAAATAGCTTTGAAATAATGATTGTCAGTTTAATTTTATATATATATATATATATACATACACACACACACACATATATATATATGTATATATATATTCATAGTACTTAACTGATACAGCACAAAGAATTGATTGGAGTAGAACTTTCAAACAGGAAATTGCAATCACGAAGGCATTGTTGCACATTTTTTTTACTAAAATATCCGTCGGCTATTCCTCACCGCGGTGCGACGTCCCTACAGCGAATATTCACTGACATTCAACGGGGGTGAGGCATATAGCGTTCTGGGGAGTTGCGTGCAGTATAAAGGTGAGAGACAGGTGCTCGGCGAGGGTGCATTCACGGTCTAACGATCTGCAAACGGACGTTCCTTCGTTCCTTGCTGTACGCATCACGCGGATGCTCAGCTTTTTATCTTTAGCATCGAATGTGTCCGATCTTCAGGACACATGGCTCTATATATATATATTATATATATATATACACATATATTAAGTTTACGTGAAGAAAATATGTGCAGACCTGTCGACCTGTACCTGTCATTATTACGTGACGAGAGAAAGAAGCCTGACATGGAGGAAGGATATTCTAATAACCTCGCACACATACTGAAGGTCTTGTCAACGCGTCGCATCTGGCAATGACCTTCGGTATATTATGTATGTCGGATTGTTAGAATACCTTTGACATATAAGGCGTCTGGTAGCAAAAGGCGGTAGCAAACAAGCTGCCGGGCAAATAATTTGTCTATATTACAGTTCTGTTGAAGAGAAGGATAGCACACGTATGTAATATCTTTGATTAAGTTTCCATTTCCTTTTTTGTCTTATATTATCAATCAATTATTTTTGTGTCACTTAAAAAAATCAGTCAACGATCAACTAAAACTGTAACGCGAAATTGAATATTACGAATTGAACGAAAATCATACTCACGTCGTTTTGAATCTTCAGTACAAAAAAGAGGAGAGAAATCTTAAGGAACGTATTACGAAATACAGATGTTGCTGTAGGATGAATTTACGAAGATCACGTTTGTGGGAGTTGGGTGGGGTTGGGATAAGGGCACCAAGTCGGGATCCAGGAAATTTGTGTCCTACATTATTACACGGGAAAATGATAAAATGTTATTTAAATAGAACAAAGAAGGCGTGTTCGGTTAACAATTGAAGAGAAATTCGCGATATAACTTCGAGGCAATATCTCGCGAGTTGTATACGCTAAATTGTAACATTACAAATACCGTGCAATGCAAAAATTAAGAATTTAAAACGTAATGCGAAAGAATAACTTGAATAACTTTCGCACGAGGAAGGTGCGTGAAATTTGCATAATCAAGTCAAGAGTAAGAGTCACGCCGCTGCCTCCGCAAAACTGTATACTGCTTTCAAACGGCGTTTAAAAGGACAATTCCGCTTGTCCGGGCACAAGTTTATTGTCAATCGACGGTAGTTATTTTCGACCTTATCTGCTGCCCCGAACATAAAAGCATTCCAGATAAGCGACAGTAATAGGGAAAGAAAAGGAAAACTTACGCCATTACGTGTGGCACGTCGATAGAGTGGGAGGACGCCCGCTTGCGATCGCCAGCCATATCGGCGAGTCTGGCGAAATCCGTGTCTTGATCGGCGAGTCGTGCACTCTTACGTGATTCGAGCAACCTGATTTCGTCTATACGTTTGGTTAGGCTCATAGTACCCTGTAACAAAAAAAAGAGATATATATTAATCTTGGAATCTCGGATTCTTCCAACTTTCAATTACATACGTTTCATACGTTCTCACGTAATACTTGGATTCGAAAAGTGAGTTTGTAGAATGTGCATGTTTTTTGAAACTTGGAAAAAAATTGATGCGATTACGACGTAATAAGAAGGTTGAAGGTATACGTAAAAGTAGATTCGGGTAATCAAACATACATATTCTATCTTTCAGTCCACGTTAGTTTGTCAAATGAAATTGAACAGCGGTAGGGAGCGAATTACTTTCTACAGAAGAGATTTCGCTTAATTTCCAATAGAACAAGATTTCTAAATGATTCTCCTCTAACGTGAGGAACCCTAAGAGATAAATAACAATAAGTAAAGGGCAAAACAAGAGTCAAGACATTCCTTTAAAAAAAGTCACACGATTGAAAGAATAAACTACAGATAGAGGAAAGTAAGATGTACAGTAAAAAAGAAAAAAAAAATGATAAAAACTCAGTTTAAACACGAATATTCATTGCGACCTGCACAAAATTTATACACGTTCATGTATCAAACGCCGATGAATGTACATGGCAGTGCTTTATCCCCGTGTGATACCTT